TTAACAGAAAATTGGCCTACACAGGAAGACCTCGAACTTTCAAAACACATGGACTAGTATGACACATTTTGAATTCACATCCAATCTAAGTAAATTGCTTAATTTGACACTGTCCCATTAATTTACCTGTAGTAGAAGGTCCCGCCTCGACGTACAGACATGAGGAGCCGCTACACGAGCAAGTAGTGTCGTGACTACTGGAACAGGAATGCACGTCGGTATCGACGTCTGCGTCTCCCTCATCCCAACGATAATACTGTCCCCATATTTTATCACAGTTATGTGGAATATGGCAGCGTCCTTTGTGATTGTTCGACCGTCGCCCCGAACTTCCGCTCGCAAGTGACCATTGATTGTCAAGATTATTGTACGAGTTTGGTTTTGAGTGGGGAGGAATTCGGTTAGGAAGATGCATTGCGTAGCAGGTATAGGCCCCAGTGCTGCCGTAGTTACTGCCAGTGCGAGGAGGAGGAATGGGTGGGTTTTCACGAGGGCACTCCGGGGGTGGGTGACTTGGAGGTGGTGGTATTAACTCCGTCCAAGACGGTGGGGGTGGTAAAAGCATTGTGGTCGCATAAGGTGTGGGAGTATCTGGTGAGCTTCTATTGTAAAAGGTTGATAAGTTTTTGGTATCGACCTCCGCGTAATCCGCAATTGGAGGCGAGAGTGGTAATGAGGAATCCTTGTCTGAGTCTCCAGCTCTCCACCCTCTGTCTATCCATAGACTCTCCTTTGTATTCATTTGATTGCCGTTGCTTATAGGAACATTGAGGTGGCCCAATTGTTTCGCTAGAGTACGCTTACGCTTAATATAAATGAAACCAGCTATTCCTGCCAGAAGTGAGAGAAGCAGAACAGACAGTAGTACCACAAACCAAGTCTGCTCTATGAAAGGAACTAAACCATCCAGAGGCCGGCTGTTGTGACTTTGGATTAGAGATAATGGAACGGAATTGGAAAATGGTCCCAGACCTGCTTGAGTTAGTCCAGCAACTTTTACACTATACATGTGACTCTTTGTTAAATTGCTTATCAGCAATGAAGTTGTGTTTGAATTAATAGTCACAGTTCGTAGTAAACCTCCTTTCACTTGCAACTTATAACCGATTATTATACCATTATGATGTTGCGAAGGTGGAGACGACCACCTTACCCATGCTGCCGAATCGTTATAAATTTCAAAGACGATATTATCCGGTGGGGCTGATGGTACATCTTCAAAGGTCTGCGATATGCGCGTGTTGGATGGTTGCCCTTCCACCAATTTAAAAAAAGGAGTGACAAAAAATTCATACTTTGTGAACTTTTTTAAATTAGACACTTGGTAACTGCGACTTTGCAGATCTAGCACTTTCACAATGTCATAGTTAGTCAATCCTCCGACTACCTCCCGGAAACGCACGTATACACCTTCCACATAATTAGTCGCACTCAAATTCCACACCAATTTAACCGAATTACTCGACAGCGCCTTTGCATCCCACAGTTCGACCGTATTCGTACTCAACGCGTTACGAGCGTTATCAATTTCCGAATGAGTAAGCGAGTTAACTAACGTTCGGGCTTCTTTCGAAACTTCACTGGCGGATGAGAGACCGTGAGAGTTTTCCGCGCGCACCAAAAACACATACGAACTATCAGGTTTTAAATTACGCACCACCGTGTAGGGGTCCGGCACTCTGTGAGCGGCTGTAACCCATCCACTTTGCAAATCTGGACTCCAATACTCAATCGTGTATCCTATCAGATGAAGATCTTCATCTCGAATATCCCAAGCGAGACTTACAGTGGACTCGGTTGTATTCAACACTCGTGGTTGATTTGGAGCAAGCGGAAATGTGGAGGGATCCGGGCTGCGATGTAAGCTGCTTGAAGAGCCAGGAACAACGTTTAAGGACGCAGACCAAGTGCTTTCGCCGCTCTCAGCTGTTGCCGAACATGTATACATCGCTGAGTCGTCCGACTGTAAATCTGCAAATTTGCGCTGTAACTGTATGTCATAACTGAGCTGTCGGTGACTTACCATCTATATCCAAAGTGCCAGTAACGTGCATTGTGTACCGTTTCGGCAACGAGGAGTTATCGAGAAACCTCCCATTCTTCAACCAGCGCGTTTTCGGCTGAGTTCCATCTGTACACGAAGCCTTACAGTATAGAGTGACCATACTGTGCAGTGGCAAAGTTTGATTGCTTGGGCCGATCTGAATAATCGGGGGAGGTAAATCCGCGACGGATATTACGCGCAGAAAGGCGCGTGAACTCTTAGAACCAGCCACGCTAAGTGCGGAGCAAGCTATAAACCCTGAATCCTCGCGCTGCACTTCGCGTATTTTTAATGTTCCGACCTGATTGACCTGCATCCGTCCGTAGGAATTTTCGGGAAACATCAACACTTGGGACCCTTCTCTGCTCCAAAACGTTGATGGTGGAGGGTTTCCCGTAGCTTTACAGTGAAATTCGACAAATCCGTTTAGACTTACCTTTTGATCTTGTGGTTGCTCGATAAAGGTAGGAGGTGCTGTTAGTTAAAGGTTCTTGAGGTGTGTGTTTTTAATTACCGCTATACTTACAGTTTACTAGTAGTGACGCTTTGGTCGAAATTGTCCCGACGAGATTTTCTGCATCGCAAACGTAGAGACCTTCATCAGAGCTTTGCACGTTTTGTATCTGCAAGGATTTATCTTCCAAAATCTGGGCGCGACCAATGGGAATTTTTCCATGGTCCTTTCTCCACAGAACTTTCGGCTTGGGCTCGCCATCAACGGAACAGGAGAATGTTATTTTCTGCCCCACTAGCGCAACTACATCGTGAGGTTCCTTGTTAAAGGTAGGCTTAACTGTAAAACGGAATTAAAAGTGTTCAATAGCAGTTTAATTTACCGTGAACTGTAAGAAGAACGACGGGTGTCTCTTTGTGGCCCACCAAATTATGAGCGACGCACTGATACCGACCCTCGTCGTATTGACGAACATCATTTATAAGAAGGTTGCCGCCGTCTACAACACGGACGCGTTTGCTATCGACGTCGATCGTTTTCCCGTCCCTTTTCCATATCACACTCGGTTCTGGATTGCCCTTCGGAGGGCCGCACTGTAGTAAAGCCGTTTCTCCCGCAGCTACAAGTGTATCCGTCGGCATAACCCGAAATTCGTCTCGTAAAACTGAAACAAATTTTTAAATTTAGGAACGTCATAAATATATTTCTCTTATTTTTCCATTTCCTTCCGTTCGCATAAAATGTGAATACCGATCAATGTGTCGAAAGGCAGTGGAATAATGGTGATCTTTTCATCGCCTTTTCTCAAATTACGACCTCGTTCGACTTATTAAATCAAATATTTATGATATATTGATTCCATTTACGAAAACCTTTGTGGTTAGCGGTAATTTAGAAAATTACTTCCGCCCACCGCTATTTCCTCGTTGCTTTTGCATGTCTACGGGAGAACCGCAGTTCGTGAATCAAGATAACCGTTTTTATAGCCGGAAGCAGGAGAAAAGAAGACTTTTGCAATAATCGACCCCGGTTATTACCCAATATTTCTAAGGTTATTGCTTCAGTTTATTCCCTGCTCCAGACTAAAAAAGATATATAAAAATTCACCATTGTATTTGATGAAAAATTTTAAATATAAAACACTTATCCCCCCCCCCCCCCCCCATCTTTATAACTCATAAAGGGAGTCGGTAATTATTCATGAACTATGAGAAATGAAGAATTTGGGTTTATCTTTGAAATTAAAAGCATACAGGCTTACAAGTACCCACATCCGCGAATATAAATTTAATTAATCAATCTACAGACGACGATGTACTTTCTCTCAGTGTAATACCTTCCATATCAATTCTTTAAGCCGAAACTCTAATTAAGTAGTACTTAAAACTTCAACGAAAGTGGATGGGAAATAAAGTAGCGCTTAAGCGCTTATAGAAGGGGGTGAGAATATCATAATGAAGTGGTTTGTGGTCGATTATGATCAGATGTGGGTAAAAAGAAAAGCTACAAGTAAGTATGAAGATTACAAAGTTTCTTATTTACATAAACTTTCAGAGTATGTAACAATAATTAATTAAACTGTGAAAGAAATTTCTAAATGGCTCGCGTCAAGTGTTGAATATAGGATAAGGAGAGTTTTTTGTTTATAAAATTTGTCCGGATTTCTACATTTTATGTTACTACACACGCCGTATTATACTTTTGGAAATTTTTATCATAAATTGACCACAGAAATAGATAAACAAATTAATTCTAAGCAAAAGGTGTTCTCAGATCTATATATTTTTTGTAAAGTTAATACTTTTCGATTTGTTCCCGACCGAAGGTATGAGTTTTTCATAGAAAAATGAACGTTGGTTATTCGCAAAAACTCAAAAAGTATGCATGTGATTTAAAAAAAACTGTAGAGAACCAAATCGTAGCTTTTAAAAGGCAAAGCAAATGGTTTTTTATTGATTACTGTATGACCAATACAAACCGAGTTAAGGTTAGCTCTTGTTTGTCAAAAGTTAGATTAGAGAGTTTCAAACTCAAAAAAACGGCGATAGCAACCCCCTAATTACCACTTAAAAATAGTCTCTCCGTTTTCAAGTTTTCTCTAATTACATATTATTAATACATTCTAGAAGCCTGGCCAATTTATAATACTTAATTTCGAAATAATTGGAACCAAAAGTAAAGAACGAATTTCTGTAATTTTGTGAAAAACGTCCCTCTCTTCAAAATAACTCCAAAACAACTGGAAGAGTATCGATAATGGGAAAAAACTAATTTTTTATTATACCTGAATCACAATCTCCGTTTTAAACACTCAAATCCGTGCGAAAAAAGGCCTTTAAAACACACGTGCTTTAAAGTTGCTAAGTAACGATACTTCAAGTATGACTTTTGAAACTGTCATCTGGGGCTGAAATAAAAGATCCTCTTAGGTCGCTGTCTGTAAATGCAGAACATTTCTTTGGCTTGTACCTATCCTTTGGTTGAAGGTTTCACAAACGCGCAAATTTAGGGTATGCTTCCAAATCTGTTCCACTTTTAATCGCAGCATTGTTTGAAGTTTTGAGTTAATGCACCAAAAGATAGGAGATTTAAATACCTTTGGCATTTCCTTCATATATCCCAGCATTATCGATGCATTTAAGACTTTATTCGTAAGTAACTTCCTTTTCATCCATGGAAACAACTTTTCATATTCTTTATAATAGGCTTTACTAGATTTGGATTTTACACCTACCAACGTTTGTTTAGATTTTACAACAAGCGATTTAATGGACGGTGTATTATCTTTTTCAACGGAAATCGTTTTATTCACAAAGACGACGATTTTTATAAGCAAACGTCAAGTGACATTTCCATGGCAATCGTGAAATTACGAACACCCAGCCCACTTAATTAGACATGTATTCGAGTATAACGTCAATATGACTTCATTGTATTTCCTATTTTTAAATTATACTGCAGGTATAATAAAAAATACTATAAGATACACGTGTATAATTGGTCTTTAAAGCACTTGCAACGTTAAAGGCACTCCGCTTTGCGTCGTGCCCTTAAACTCGTTGCGCGTGCTTTAAAGACTTGATTATACACTTGTATCTTAATATACTATTTGAATCTAAATCAAGATCTAAATGTTGGCAGGGTAACTTTTGCAACGACCTTAAAATCAAGCCTTTATGAAAAGACTCTCACTTAGATTTCCGTCTTTGAAATTTTAATACAAAATAGGTTTCAAATTTTATCAAAATAGGAACAAAACTAAAAAAGTTCGAGCTTCATTTCATTTTTAAAGCGGCTTCAGAAAAATTTCATCGTTATCATATATTTTGTTGTCAGCTGCAATCCTGCGTAAACTTAATTAATTTAAGTGAATCATATGTGAGTCTGGCCACTATAATATTATCCGTTTTCCAGTTGTATTTTGGTTTAATTAAAGTAAAGCAAATGTTAACTTTTAATGAAACCGAAACTCATCAGTTACTATAATTTCATTACGATAACGCATTTCGCTTTGAAGTAATTAATCTCCAGCGTTAGATGAGACAAAGCCCGTAATGTTTTTGTAGATTATTTGGAATGTTCCTCGTGACATACAAATTAGTAGCATTTGTAAATTCGGTTTGTATTTAAACTGAACATACCCGGTATTGTTTTCAATTAATTATATGTAACTCTGTATTTACGCACGATTACGTCCCTTTCATGAGAGGAAAACCGTCCTTTAAAATAATGAAAAGGGCTCGATGTCATTCATATATATAGTTTGAAAAGGTTCGCTAATAAATGGACAAGGGCAGAATGACATGTATTGTGCCTTAAAGGGTAAATGACATCAATAAAAAAAGGTTTCACCGTATGCGAAATTTATGATGGTGCAACATCTGGATTTGTCATTAGTTTCGCCCTTCCCTAACACTTTCCTTATCACTACGTTTTTTCAATAAATTCCATGCCGAGGGCGATACTTCAAAATTCACTGAAATATCGTCTATTCTCCCTTTATAGCGACGGATATTCCCTAAACCATTGTAGCTCTCACTAATTGGCATGACTGTTGGAACAGATATGTCTAATAGCGCTAATGCCACATATAGGGGTTAGTAAGACTGTCTCACCACCCCCATGAACATGCAAGCTTTGTTTGGATGCGAAGGTCTAATATTATCCCTAGGGATAACGTTCATTTATAGTATACGATCAAATAATACCTCGAATTATTATTATTAAGCCGTAAGGACTGTATTTGCAGTGGGTTTCATGATGTCAGTGTGATTCCGGAGGGATGCGCGTTATAATAAATGTCCAGAGAGTAAACTTTTAAACACAATGCTCTTTTTGTCAGAAATCGAATCTAACTAAACTTTTAAGAAAAAAACTTCGTATAAGGTTGTATAGCGACAGCCGTTCTATTAAATTTTAGACCGAAGGGTAGAAAAAATTTTCTTCGCCGCACCTGTTCTAACAAATGATGCGTACACAACATTACACGTTAATGGTTTTAATTAAACACCCCTCGCTGCATTCAATATAGACGTAATTTTGACTAACGTCGCTAAATTTGTTCGCCCCTGAATTAGCGACATATAATGGGCCATAAATAGTCACCGTTGCATACGAATGCACATGAGCTTCGAAAACTAATATCAATTTTCTCTGATACAAAAAGTTCTTGGAAATTGAAGTTTCACAATGGATTTGTTGGTCTTAATTAATTTATGGATTTTTCACTTTATATAATAGGAAAATTCGAATGATTTCGTGACTATGACATTCTTAGATGGTAATTTTAGTTTAGCGTTGAGGTCATTTAACCGTTTATAGACGACAAGCTTAATGTAATAGATATAAATGGAGTCAGAAACTATCGGTCAAATTACAAAGACACTAATTGGACATACACTATTAGAGAGCGAGTTATATTTGTATCAATTTGCAAAATTAAATTAGGAACCACTATAATAATTGCAGTTCGGAAATTGTGTGATGAAGTTGTGGAGATTGAGATAATGAAGGATTAGCAATGATTATACACGAGGTCAGCCTTACTCGTGGTGTAACGTGATTAATCATGTTAAATGCATTTTTAATGTAATGGCCGGAAATTACAAAATGAAAGGGAAACATGTCGGGGGTGGAACGATACGGGTGTTTAAATATATAAGAACCTGCTTGACGCAGGTCACAGCGTAAAGTTCTAATGGCATTAAAACTGATAATTACTTCTGTTCGCGATGGTTGCTAGTTATGGAATCTAGGTCTGCCAAACCTGACTGCTGTTTGAGCGTAATGTCAATGGTAACATGCAGTCTGCTAATTACATGTGGTCTTGACCAAAACGCGTTCTTGCCACCAGCATATTGCCAATATCCGAAATATCGCTTCCCGCGGGCTGTTTAATATAAAAATATTGTTGATGTATTACATTCAAAGTTAATGATTTTAATGGAATAAAAGTTACCGAATTTATTAGCTAACAAGCTAATAAAGTCCAGATTCATTACTGCTGAGCACAATCGATTATATTGATTTCTGATACTTGATTTGATAAGTTAGCATGAGGTTAGCAATGCCTTTGTTAAATTGAAATTGATGCTGTTAGAAAATGGTAAAACATAAAATGAGTTCTAAGCTCATGATTACCACCCCAGCATCAGGGGCGTAACCATAACCGATTAAACAATCGTATTTGTAAGTTCAATTGAAATTTTAAGAAGTCTCGGTTTCTCTGCATTTGTAGCTTCTACTAAAATTTTCGTGAAACAAGGCTTTGAAGTTTGAAGAAGGCTGAGATTTCCTACAAAGGAATCAATACAAACGAATTACTTAGTATATGGTGCATTAATCAGAAAAGTTACCAGAAAGCAGTTTATTTTAACCGGGGCGTCATGTTAATTTAAGACAAGTCCATTCTGAAGACGACACTACACTACCTGCAGTATGTAATTCTGCGCTGTATCGTTATTTTTTTCTTCATATTTTTGAACACTCTAGATGGCATAAACAGAGACCCAACGAGATATGCCACTTTACACGGTTGTGGCATTTTTAATTTGTAGCGTTGAGATTACGGACTAAGGGTGATGAAATTAACGAATACGAAAGAAAGACTCGATAAGGTCTTTTCTTTCTTTCGCCCCTTAAAACGGCAAAATTTTAAGAGTTTTCCGTGCTCCCATGATCATTTTTGCGGAAACGCCATCGACTTCTTCCTCTTTTGGGGAGTAGAGAGTTTTGTCGTGAAAGGTTGGATTTCGAAGCTAAAAATGTCGCGCGTTTTTAAAAATATACCCTTGAGTAACCGAAATAATTATATATTCTTCCATTTTGGCATTAAAAATTGTGCTGGAGTCACCTACGTCTCAGTGTTTATGAATTGTGTCATTTTGTAAGAATAAGAATTGGTGGGACTGAACTTCAGCAATATAAAATTGGGTTACGATTACGGGCGGATGAGATTCTGGGAGGTACACATATATTAAGATGATATTAATTGAGTTATATAAGAAGCTTCTAAGGTGCAATTAAAAGGGCTATTAAATCTGCGCCGGCAAGAATATTGTATATCTTGATAGAGTTGAATTATGTGCTTCATAATTAAAACATTCAATATGAATACGACACACGTTATTTCCACAGAAAAAAAACCATTAAATGCTAATGTTTTTATGCGCCAGTTAAATTGAATTAAAAGTAAATAAAACTAGGTGGTCTCAAGGTTCTTGTAATTTTAATTGATTTTTCCTGTCGTTTGCGTAAGAAGGATCTGCTGCTGTGATTATAAATGGTTTGAGGGGGCACGTCAAGTTTAGAATTTTTGTAAAGTTGTAAGGCGATCTTTTAATGGAACTAGTAGAGCTTTGAAGAAGTGTACATAATGAAATTGGATAATGAATCCGCCGTCTCTGTAGCTAACCACAAAGAAATATCAATATTTGTACAGTCATTTTACCTGCAACTTGAAGTGTAGCGTTTCTGCTAACGGCAATTCCGGCGATATTTCGTGCCACGCACCAGTAGACCCCCCCATCTTGTTCTTTTTTACTGCTTACAGTGCGAAGGAAAAATAATGATCCTGAAGGTAGCAGTACGCGATGGGACTTATTATCAACGGGAGAGGTCCTTACAGGTTCGCCATCCTTAAACCATTCCACGGAGGGCTCTGGGCGTCCTTCTGCTTTACAATTTAAGGTTACCGGTTCGTTTTTGGCAACGATTATATCGGATGGATGTTCTGTTATGCGGGGGGACCGATACTGTCCTGAAACAAAGAGATTCATTAAATTATATTTTGCTAGTTGAGCGAAAAGAGAAGATTGACTGGTTTTAACATTGCAAACTACCTATAAAAACGGTTTTAGTACATAGTGAAGTTTCTTTTATTTGTAGTGTTTTATCATCTGCAGACGTTTACTTTTATACGCAACACAGAAACGGACTTCAAATTCACGACAACCTAAAAGAAGAACCATCGTCAGTTAAGGGTTGCATTTGTTTTATTAAAATAAAGTTAAACTTAGGGCAATTTACGTAATTTAGAAGTTAGCTAGCCCACTCAACGAAGACCAAAAACTGCCAAATAGGAGAAATTATTCGTGTAAGAGGTCGAAGGTTCGGAAACATTAAAAGCAGAGTATGATTTGCAGAAAATGGACAAAAACTGAAGTTGCTGAGCAGGTTTTACAGCCTTACGACAATCATGCAGCGAACTGTTCTTCTCTAACATCAAGCAATTGCTAGGAAATTTTGCAATTACTTCATTCACAACTGCAACGCCTTAACGAACATTTTCATCTTTAAAACGAACCAAGACCTACCAGAGGAACCGAATGGGACGCTACATTTATTTTTTATCTAAATCACTACAACAATTCTTTAAAATGGTTACATTTTTAATCTGCTGCCTTAATTTATGTTTTCTAATTAAGTTTATCATTAATTCGTTGGGTCAAGCGATTTCTTTAGTTTTTCGTAATTCTCTTACGTAATTTTCGTGTGGAAATTAATTAGCTAAATACGCCATTTTTAACTTCCTACAGTTCCAGCTAGGCGGCTATTGCGTTTACATGTTAAAATTTCAGCAAATGTCGACGTTTTAGTTTATTTTTAGCAACTTTTAAAAAGATACAATTTTTTCGGTCTGTATGTATGTATGTTAGCAATATTCTGAGGTAACGGCTCGACCGATTTTGTTCAAATTTCGGATATGTATATAAGTATATTAAATTTTGGCGGTCGTCAAAAAAGTTTTTTGGTTTGAGCTAGGAAGCTATTCTATCAAAAATTTGGTACCTGGTTTTTTTGTTGTACGTTTTTTGAGACAACTGCAGTATTAACGCCGGCAGGTTTCTGTTAGCTTCCGTTTCAATGATTCATTGAATTTAATTGACCGATAGTTCTTGCAGGTTTGGTACAGAGAATCAAAGAGACTCAAACTATATGCGCTGTTGCTGATTGGAAATTTACCAATAAACAGTTCAGCTAATAGATAAGGATGTCAGTAATTGTGAAAAATGTCCCATTCACGGATATACATATAAGTAACCAGTAACAGAATTTGTGTATCGAGTGTGATAGAATATCCATGCAATACAAAACTGTCTTGCAAAGTCTGGTGTACGTCCAATTTAAACATAAAACCAAAGCGTCTCTTTAATTGAATTGCCATCAAAGAATGTATAAACATGCTAGGATTAAAATTCATCACTACTACATTCCCGTTCATGCATTCTTCACTTCGAAAAAGTCCCAAATTCAGAGGGTCATGTGACCTATCCAAATATAAAATGATGCTCTTCCGGATTTATTTTTGTACGGTAAAGGGTTTGGCGCAAGCCTTTATAATTAAATCACGAGTTATAAGAAGTTTATATCCGACGAAAGTTATACGTTTAATTAGAAAAGTGACAAAATACGTTACGAAAATCCTTGCAGTCTTTAAACGGAATCAAGTTAAACTTTAGTTAGAGTGACTGTTGTTATCTAAATTTTTAATGGGGGTTGTTAATCCTTCAGAATTATCTCTTGGAAAAGATAAAGTGGACGGAAAGCAAGACATTTGATTTATTTTTTATGACGGAAAATAAAATGGATCCGTGTCCGTAGGGACAATCGCGTACTCAAAATACCTTAAACGATAAATAAATATTTGTTAGGTACAGTTGACATTCTCCAACTCATTAATAAAGTCTACAAGTTACTTTAGGCATCAACATCACTTAAGATACAATCTAGTAATTTATAGTTGGGCCAATTATATTTTCATTTATCTTAAATTGGATCTTAAAGCGACTAGCGGCCGAGCATTCAATTCCAACTTAGCACCAACGATAAAATTTTTCCTTGTTCGAATTGATAAATGCGTTAGTTACTCTTCAAATTAACTCACCATTTAAAACAAAAAATAAAATGCGAAGTCTCTACGTTCGAAATAATAAATCTAAATTAGACTTTTGTGTTGGGTTTGATTAAAGACTCCTAATAAAAAACAAGAGGATCGAACGCAATTTACCGCTTAATCCCGAAATAATAGGAATTTAATGGCGCTCATGGGACCACGGGTAATCTTTGGCAGATAACGAACCAAAAAGTAATGGGAGGGAGACGTTCCCGGAACGGTTTCTATATTTTCAGATGATGCGTGCAATTTTCTGCACATCATTCGTCCTCTGACATTCGCCAGCAATAATTGGAAAATGAACCGATCGATTTTTATTTCGACAATAAAACTTTTGTATAAACTCTGTACTTTACCGGAGTAATAAACATCCAACGTTTAATAGCCTATTTCCTGAAGGAATTTAACTGTTTAATAGAATATAATGAGAACATATGGTTTTATGTTTTGGGTTTGCTTTGATGAAGCCTGCCTGTCATAAAATACATTTTATTAGTCACTTCAGCATCACTCTAACGGCGGTGATAGAATTATAGTCACTTCTTTTACGGCACCACATGTAACTACTACAAAACGCCAAAAATCCAACATCTATTATACTCCCTACCTCGACTACAGATTTATATCGCATTTGTTTGGTCGAATTTGCATCGCCTACAAATTAGTCAAATTCCAAAACTTTACGGCGATATAAATTGGTGAAACCTTTCGTTTGCCGCCATAAAGTCACATTATTCAGACGGTAGAATGCCAGAAAACGTGACTATTTTGAATATTTCCAACAATATTAAGATATCACGATTGGCACCACTCTTTGACTAGCCAAGACGCCGATTTAAAAGCATATAAATTATATTTTTAATAATAAATTTCGGCGTTGTTTCCAGCTGCTTGTATAACAGTACCATTGGCTACATGCCGAATATCATTAATCTAAACTGCCATATGAATGTGCAAAGTAAACCAACTGATGTTCAAACTTCTCAACTAAAAGAAGCAAGCGACTTGGGATAGTGATAATACACACCATTGGAATCGAACTCAATACTCGAACTCGAAAATTCATCCCTTAAGATACAAATGAAAGTCTATAAACACATGTCCTATAGGTAGGTATCTATATAAAAATAATTGCATGATACAGCGGGCCTAAATAAACACCTTTCCTTCGTCAAAAGTACTAATTTTTTTTATAAAAAAGTTCTTCCACAATTCCTATCGATTGGTAGATTAAGAAGGGTTTCGAATTTTCGAGGTTTTTTAATTCTTGAGATACATTAGTCTCTACAGATTTGTAAGATTCCTCAGATTCCTTAAACTCTTCAAATTCTTACGGTTCTTCGGGTGGATCCGTTCCTTCGAAATCTTTCGATTGTTGTTTAGATCCTTTCGTTCTTGCGAGTTCCTACAGTTATGCACCTCGAGTTCTTAGCATCCGCTTTCTTCATTAAACATCAATCGAGGAATCAAAAGTGTGTCGACGAGAGTTACACAGCTCTCAATTAGTGTAACGATAAGAAGTGATACAGGGACTCAATGATTTAGTACTTTTGGCGAGATATGAAATTTGTATGCCCTGTGAGAAGGTTGCTTGTAGACTTCGTAATCAATAGAGGAAACAAAGATATCCCTTGTACTACAATAATTACACCCTTGTCAATCGAAATTAGAATAATAAGCCAAAGTTTCCGAAAGTTTCTTTTCTATTCTTTTCAATCTCTCTAATCAGATCTTCAGATTCTTACATTCATCAAATTCTTCAAGTTCATTCCATGTATTCGAATCTTGTTATACATCTCTTCTACGAATGATTGCATTTCCCCGAATTATTTCCGATTTTTCAGATTGTTAGAATTGCTCAAGTACATAAGCTCCTGAAGATTCTTCAGATTCTTCCGTTTTTCCACATTCATCATATTCTACGAACATGATTTCTTAAAATTGTAGTAATTTCTGAATTTTTTGGGTTATTCTTCTTTTCACAACAGTCTTTCAAGCTTATTCAGTAACTTTTGTTCCCGAGTATTTATAATTCACTAATATAGTCAATAAGTTAAATAGAACCAATTATTTATTTAGAAACTTACGTACTATATTTACACTACCACAATTAATTCTGATCTATCACGCATCAGTACATCATTCGTTACGGAATTTGTTCATGGGGACCATCCCCCTATTCTCGTTGCGTCTTTCTCTCTCAAAAGAGAATTATCCGAACACTTGCAAATATTCGCAAATTTGATTCTTGTCGAGGATTCTTCAGAAAACATAAAATTCTCACTCTAACGGGATTGTATATATTACTGAAATCTGTCAATATATTTATGTCAACTCTAACAAGATGGTTAAAAGTAAGGATATACATCAATACAATATCCGAGGTAATGATAATCTTCGACCACATTTCACTAAGACAAAAATTGGAATCAATTGACCCTCCAATCTTGGAATTAAGATCTATAACCATTTACCTCACATAAAAATTATTTTTGTTTCTAGTTGACAAATGTCATTATGATATAAGTGAATATTTTACTGGTTAATGTAACTTGTTTGTCGCTATTTAATGTGTAATTTGTTTTTTACCTACATAATATTCAATGTAATTTAAAAATTTTAAGATATTTGTTGATAACTTCCACACAAACTAGTTTGTGTATGGAATAAATACTAATATTATTATTATCCCTTTTTTACCAAAAATCGACTACACCAAAATTTCTCGGGAAAACACTTTTTCTTATTAATTTGGGTGCGTAGAATCCAAATCAATTCGTACTTTTTCGAACAGACTTCTCAATCAAAAGTTATAGACTAGAAACCAATTTCGAAAAAAAATTCAAAGGGCTGTAACTTTTGAA